TTGCTTCAGATTCTGTGTCTCCTTCTCTCTCTGCCCCTCCCCCGCTCAAGCTTTGTCTCACTCTGTTTCTCAAAGATAAATGAATGTGAAAATAAATAAATAAACATTTAAAAATTTTTAAAAATTCTTAAAAATTAAAAAAAATAGTAAATACGTAGAAAAAAAGAAAAATGGTTTTAGTAAAGAGTATCCAGGCATTCTAGAGGGTGATGTTTTCGGGGGATGGGGGAGTTGGGGAATGCTTCTGGAAATGACACTGGAGCAGAGATCTGAGTGCAACAGGGTTGGGGTTGGGTGACTGGGAGAGAGAACATTCCAGGCTGGGCGTGTCTGGGGATCAGGAAGGAGGCCAGTGGCTGGAGCGAGTGAGTAAGAGGAGAGGGTGAGAAGTGAGGGCAGAGAAGGAACAGGACCAGACCTTGGAGGGACAAGAAGCCCAGGGCTTTGCGTTCCCACTGGAAGGATTTTACCTTGAACGAGTTAGGAGCCATGGGAGGGTTTGGGCCAAGGCCTGGGGGTCCAATTGCTGCTGCCAAGTGGTCACTCTGGCCTCTGAAACAGCTGTCCCCACGGACCTTCCATGTGGTTAAGTCAAACAGACGTTTCTCATGCCTCTTCCTGAGGGATCTTTTAGGGCTGTTCATAGCCGTCCTGCATCTTTTTTCTCCCCGACGATACTTCTTGGGTTTCATGTGAGTGTCCCTCAAGTCCTGACCTTGGCCTTGTTGTTTCACTTCTCACTTGGCAGGCTCAGCTTTCCAGTGAGCCTCACTCATTTCTTCTCCCTGGCCCCCCTCCAGACATCCCCCAAGCCTCCTCCCTCCAGATCCCACTGAGTTCCTTGTCCTAATTTCCGTATCTACAGGATAGCCCCACTGGCTAGGCAGTCAGAGGGCCAGATCTCCAGCCTCCAGCCTTTGTTCCCTCACGTCCACGACTGGGAAGTCCCCAGCCCTTCAGCGCTTTCCTGTAGCCCTGGCCCAGACATTGGCCCTCCTGTCGTCTTGCCCGAGATCCTGTCCTTATGGCCCTGCTACAGCATCTTTTCTTACCTGGTCCATTACCCTGACCTCTGGTATCATCCTTCCAATCTATCCCCTACCTGTCCTCAGAGGTGCCTTTCCACATTGACCCTTGCCCCTCCCCTGCTCATAGCTCTCCCATGGCTCCCTAGTACCCACCAGAAAAAGCCCCTACTCTCTCCACCTCATATTGGATGGAGGCCCTGCGAGGTCTGGCCTGCATGACCCGTGTAGTCTCAACTCCCACCTCCTCCCTCAGTCTTGCTCTTTGTGATGCGATCTCTCTGACTGGATTCACTGGTTTGGAAACCAATGATGCTGCTTCTTTAGACTTGATTGAAGCTACGCTGAACCAGTCAAACGTGAAGTTCACCGGCCTGGAATGCTCTTGCCTATCAGTCAAGACTTAGCTCTTGTGTGACCTTGGACGAGCCTTCCCTGGCTTGCCAGGCTGAACTTGTTAACAGTCAATGCCTGTGACTCCACCATCAGAGTACAAGCTGGTACTTGGGGACTTTCTCCAGCAGACTGGGCACTCCCTGTGAATCTGGGCCTGGTACTTAGAACACCGTCTGCCACACAGGCGGCCTCAAACGAAGGCGGAATAGTGAACTGAAGTCCCATCTTGTTCCCCCCAGAGCGGGCAGTACCTGGGCGTCTGTTGAAGACCCGGGCGATGCGGGAGATGTACCGGAGCTACGTGGAGATGTTGGTGAGCACAGCACTCGACCCAGACATGATCCAGGCCCTGGAGGACACACATGGTGAGCTGAGGCCTGGGAGAGAAGGTCCCCGACCCCTCCTTTGCACCCCCCTCCCCCCATGCATTGTGGGGCTTCGGCTCTTCTGATGCCCCTCCGGGTCTTTTAGATGAGCTATACCTCCCGCCCATGCGGAAGATCGACGGCCTCCTGAATGAGCACAAGAAGAAAGTCCTGAAGCGGCTGTCGCTGAGCCCAGCCCTCCAGGTGCCTGTGGGGCCTGGGCGGGAGGTGTCCGGGGCCCAGCAGTCATGAACGGGAGAGATGTTCACCTGTCAGCCACGGAGGAGCTCCCAGAGCATGAGGCCCTGAGCGGGGGGCACCATTCTCCGGGCTTGGCCAGGAGAAAAGTTGAGGGCAGGGCTGGCAAGAGGGAGTCTCTAGGTTCCTTGCAGGCCTGCATGGAGGGGGCTTGGAGGGTGCAGAGAGGTCATAATGAAGGTCTGGGGTGGGCTGCTGGGAAAGCCCATCAGAGCGTGGCTCTGGAGTGCAAATTTGGAGGCAAAAGGTAGACTAGGGCTTGCACCCAGGCCTTGCCGTGGGACAGCGTTAAGCAGATCCTGATGGCTTCTCTGTCATCGTAATGCGGGACTTCTTAGCATCTTAGGTTTCGGTAGTAAGTCATCTAGATGATTTTCTTTCTGGAATGGCCTAGGATTCTAGAACAGACTATTCAGGCAGCTGTGATGAGGGGGATGGTTGTGTGGTGCTGAGATTTGGGGGCAGATTGTTAGGGCAGCGGAATTCTGGGATGGAATGTTGGTCCGGCCTTGACATTTCTGGGCAGGTACTGGTCTAATTCTGGGAATTCTGGGATGGACTTTCAGGCTGGCTCAGAAAATCCCTGGTGGGATGTTAGTCCTTCAGAAAATGCGGGATAGAGTGATAATCTGGTTCTAGAACTCCGGGTGAGATGTTATGCTAGGGTTAAAATTTCCGTGGTAATGGAATATTCTTCTGGTTTTAAAATTCTGGGATTGAATGTCAGCCTGGCACTGGGGAGTCTGGATCTTAGGCTGATTCTCAAAATGTTGAGTAGGATGTAAGGCTGGTGCTGAGAATCCCGGGTGGAATATCAGGGGTCTCTGGGAATCTCAGGCCAGGCCACAAAGCACATTAATAAGGGTCCCCAGACAGGCGTAGGTTCCTCTGTCCTTTGAGGAGACCAAGATTCCCCAGGGATCCCCTGATCCACAGCCTGAGGGAAACTGATGCACCTGATGATCTGAGAACTGATGGTGGGTTTGGAGCGTGTGGGCCCAGGGCACGTCCCACTGACCGGTCGGCTTCCCGCAGGACGCCCTGCACACGTTCCCCCAGCTGCAAGTGGAGCAGAGCGGGGAGGGCTCCCCTGAGGAGGGGGCCGTGCGGCTGCGGCCGGCGGGGGAGCCCTACAACCGCAAGACGCTCAGCAAACTCAAGAGGAGCGTGGTCCGAGCCCAGGTGGGGCCGCGGATGGGCGGGCGGTGTGGGCGACTGGGAAGAGGAAAGGCCCCGGCCTGGGCAGTGGGGTGAGGCTTCTCCACTCTCCTCTGTCCAGGAGTTCAAAGTGGAGCTGGACAAGTCGGGATACTACACGCTCTATCACTCGCTCCACCACTATAAGTACCACACCTTCCTGCGCTGCAGGGACCAGGTAAGCCCACCCGCAGCACCCGTTGCCCTGGGATTTGGCCCCACGGGCTCTGCCCTGGACCCGGCCCCTCCTGCCTCGGACTCAGGAGTCCAGCTCGCAGTCCCCTCCTCCCTCGGACCCAGGGTTCCAGCTCGCAGTCCCCTCCTCCCTCGGACCCAGGGTTCCAGCTCCCAGTCCCCTCCTCCCTCGGACCCAGGGA